AAAAAAACACAAGGGTTAAAGTAATAAAAACAATTGAAAAGAGAGATTTGATTTAAGAAAAATAATTTAAGGATAATTTTTTTGTATCACTTTTTTTATATCATATTTTTGTAGAATCTTATATGTTATTCAAATAATTAGCTATTTGTATTTATTTAAGATCCATAATATTAAATGTATTTGCTTATTTAATAATATGTAAAAATTATATTAAAAAATACTATAAAAATTTGTCTCTATATCACCACTCTCAATTTAAAACCAAAACATAAAACCATAGCCCTAACTAAACCCAAATTTGCACAACATGTGTCAAAAGATAATAAAAAATAATTTTAACTACCGACCGTTATACAATTAACGGTTCAAATTAACAAATGTAGAAACGGTGTCAAGAAAAGGACGACGACAATGAACAAAATATAGGGAGTAGAAGGACGACATTCGGTGTGAGTTGGCCAATTGGGAGTAGAGGGACGACAATGAACAAATCTGTAGTAGAGGGATGGTTATGAACAAAATTTGAAAGTAGAGGGACGGAAATTGGCTTTAACCCTTTATTTAATGATATATAAAAATTAAGTTTTGATCCATCTGTGCAACTAGGAAAGATAATGAGGTGATTTAACCTTGTTTCGTCCCTACCGCCCAATCCCAACTCGGGGTGCAGACGGGGCATTTTTCCTCGCCGTTTTTCGGACGGCAAGACCAAAGACTATGACCTCTTCTTAGTCTCCTCCCCCCCATTCCACGCAGATACAAATTTAATGGTTCCAATTCACCTTCTTCCTCCACCCATCTTTATATCTCTTTCTGAGAATTATCTGCTGTATCATGGGGATACCACTGATGTGGTATCCTGAACGAATCAAAGCATGCTAAATCATCACTTTTTGTCCACCTCATTAGCCACATCGCACTTTTTTTCCAGCTCAACTGTATCTATTAATGAGGTGGAAAAATGATAACGTGGTGTACTGTAATTGGCTGGGAGTACTGCTGAGTGCTGACGTACCGTCCCCCCCCATGCAGCAGACTTTTACGTCCCTCTCGCCCAAACGCAACTCTGGGTGCGGATTGGGACATTCTTCCTTGCCGTTTTCCTGACGGCAAGACCAAGGACTGTGACCTCTTCTTAGTCTCCTCTCTCCCATTCCGCTCAGATCCAAACACATTGGTTCCAATTCACCCTCTTCCTCCGCCCATCTCTGTATTTCCTTCTGCGATTCGGGTTTTCCATCTTTCTACGAGGTGTTCCAGGATGGCGAACACTGGCACCGACGACCATCACGAGGAGTCTAGCCCTCTATTGAGCAAGCAGGTTGAAGAAGATGGGAGTAAAGGGAGTTACAACGACAAGGACAATCAGCCCAAGGAGGGGAAAGTAGATGCAGCGCCCGATTTGCTTGATGTTTCAGTGGGAGTTGGGTATGGTTGGACCGCCGAAGGGCTGCCGTTGGATCACGGGAACGTGGTGGGCGAGCCGATGGCTCGGCGGCAGTGGGATTCCAGCCTCTTCGCTTGTCTTGGCCGTAACGACGAGTTTTGCAGCAGCGATCTAGAAGTTTGTGAGTCTTATTTCGTTAAAAATGCTCAATTTTGTTAAAATTTGTTGATTTCTGTGTACTTTGTAATCCTAGAAATTAATTTCTTATAAATTGGTATTATAAGATGCTGATTAAGAGGGTAATGCATGATATTTGATCGGATTGAGGCACTGGACTGGCCACCTGAAAGATGATAATAAGGATGATCCAGTCTGTGGTGATGGCGTCAAAAGTGAAATGTGGGATCTTTTCTGAAATCATTGGGAAAATGGAACAGCTTTGAAGTTTATTATATTGAAAAGGATTGAAGGATTAAGCATGCAAGTTTGATACCTGTTTCTGTTTGTGATTTCGGGGGTTAGATATGCTGAAATTTATTTTTATCAAATTTAGTTTATATGCTTATGGGCACGGTTTGGTGTCTGACACGTTATGTCTTAGCATGAATCATGGATGAGTGTTAATGTTGGTCCAAGAATCATCTGGTTAACAAAGTCATGGACTTTTTCCTTTCTCTTCCCTATATCTTTTTGTGGGGGAGGGTTGTCATTGTTCAATTGGGCTTCTGGTTCTTGAATTCTCCTGGTTTAATGGGTTTCTTACTGCTTTTTCTTGTTTGTCTTTTTCTCTTATATTTTCTGATTGTGGCATCTCCCTAGGTCTCCTGGGAAGCATGGCTCCGTGTGTGCTGTATGGAAGCAATGCTGAAAGACTTCTATCTGGTCCTGGGAAATTTGCAAATCACTGCTTGCCATACTGTTGTCTGTACCTGATTGGTAAGTCTTTCTTTGGCTGCAATGTCCTCGCACCATGGTTTTCATATCCTAGCCGTACCGCAATGAGGCGGAAGTTTAACCTAGAGGTAAGTAATCCTCAAATCCTTCCCTGTGCTTTGAAACTTTAATATTCCATGAATTGAGATAAGCACTTGAGTTAGCATAGTATGTGTTGATTTTCTTTAGTTGTTTCAGGAATTATTTTTTCTAGTACATTCATCCCTAGTCAAAGATAGAAAAGGAAAAATTTATCGTTCTTATATCATGCAGTTGCGGAATAAGCACTTGATCGCTTTTTATGACCCTTTTTTTTGGGGGGGTGTATAGGGAATTAAAGCAACAACTACTAATCCAAGTATTTACCAGACATCTTTTCAAAGCTCATTTATGTTGAGGATCCTTTGACAAACAGGGCAGCTGCGAGGCACTTAGTAGGTCGTGTGGCTGCTGTGGTAGCTGTTTGGAAGATGACGTGCAACGTGAACAGTGTGAATCAGCTTGTGACTTCGCAACCCATTTCTTCTGCCATCCATGTGCTCTTTGCCAGGAAGGACGTGAGATTCGCCGAAGGATTCCTCATCCTGGGTTTAATGCTCAGCCTGTTCTGGTCATGATTCCTCCTGGGGAGCAGACCATGGGCCTAGGAGCCTGATTGCATCTGCTTCAAGTCTGCCTGCTGATGAAACAGCTTTACCCTGTGTGTTGTTATCAATGCTATATAATGCCCTAGAATGATTGTTGAAACTTTATTTCTAACCTAAAAAAATGGTTAAACTTTACTATTATCATCTATACTTACCATCAGAGAGTGGATGCTTGGTGTTGTCAATCAAGCGAAAATATGATGTATGAGAAAAAATAAAAAATAAAAACATTCTGTTGATAAATGAATATTACTATTATACCGTTGTCATTTCTCAGACGATATATATTGTATAATCTTGCTCTATGCTATCTTTAATCTGATAGGGTATCTTTTTTTTTTTTTTGAACGGTAATAATATATTTATTAATATATTAATAAGCGGAGCACAAGAGGTACCAAACCCATAACAATACTGTTAGAAAAGTCTAATTTTCCCTGAGTGAAATAGAAAAGTGTCGACACCCACTATAAGTGTCGACACTATACTCGTGACGAACTTCAATCTACCGTTGCTTAATCTTCATATCTCCCTGTACAGATCATCAAAATCTTCCCAATATTGAATTCCACTGGCAATCACATCATTGAGCATGCATTGACTACATCTACTTAACCCACTCAATCCATGAAGGAGTAGACTATAGTCAAAGAGCTGCTCAATGTAGCCATCATGACCCAACTCCATTTCTATACTAAGCAAAATTGTACAGCCCGATATCTCTTCATCAGTCCCTCTTTTTCCGACCAGCATGGAGACTTTTAAGACATTCTACTGGGTTAATTAGCCAATCTGTGAGGGTAAAAGCATACCTGTCCAGATTTGCAGTAATCCATTGGAAGGATCGCACTTGGATGATTTCCAGCAACTTTCTCGGGTCAGTTTTTTTATCTTGGAAGATCATTTGATTCCGAGCAAGCCACACTGTCCAGATTACAGTACTCCAAATGCAATCCCAGCCTTCTTTTACCTTTGGATCTTTGCTCCATTTCCCAAACATTTGAAACGAATCCCAGCAATCCCTTTCCAACCGAATCTCTATTCCCCACCATTTAGCGCATTCTTGCCACACCCAACTAGTTATTTTGCATTTCAGAAATAGGTGTTTGGAGTCCTCATCTTCCACTTTGCAAAAGACGCATTTGCCATCTTCTAATTCTCCAAGAATCCCTCTAATGACCAAGTTTGCTTTTGTTGGGACTCTGTCAAGCAAAAGTTGCCAGTTGAAGGCTGAGACTTTACTTGGAAATTTGGGATTCCATATTCTTTTGAATGTCGAGATCTCATTTGTTTCTATCTGATCTTTTGTTAGGATTGAGTATGCTGTCTTAGTGGAGTATTGTCCATCCTTGTCATGGACCCATTCCCACGAGTCAGGCCTTCCGTGCGTGATCCTCTTGTCTTCTATCAATTGTTGGAGCTCCTTTGCCTCTTCAGTCTCCCATTCAAATAGCTTTCTTCTCCATTGGAGGTTCCAACTCCATTGTTCATTTCCGTCATTTCCCATTTGGTAGCACTTGTTGTCCTTTCCTGTAGATAACAAATACAGTCTAGGGTATTTATTAGCAAGATAGCCCACCCCGCACCAGTTATCCCACCAAAAGCTCACCCTCTTACCATCCCCAAGCTTTATTCTAAATCCTTCCAACAGCCATCCTACTCTCTCCCTATCTATTTTATCAATGCAGCATACATCCCTCCACCATGTAGAAATCTGATAGGGTATCTGATTTCTATTGCTGTAAACGCCGGGTCTAGCCAAATTGAAACTGTGAACACTTTATTTGATAACTAAAAGATTATCCTACCTGGCAGACTAATAACTGATTTTTAAATCCACATAAAAGTTATTACCAAAAAATGTTAAAATTTTACATTAAGAGATAGAATAATATTAGTAATCATATAAAACCGCTTCACATGGCTATAACTTTTAACCCAGAAGATCTAATCAACTTAATACTGTAATTCCTTCTAAGGTGTTTGAGTAGAAGGAACCCAATAAGCTCAATTGTTGTTAGCATGCCCTCGTGACATCATCCTTTGTGAGTAATATTTAACGATAGATTAAGTTGAATTTGTTAAACACACTAGATCCATTTTTCTTATTTGAATGCTGAGCCATATGCCCTTTTTTATTTTATTTTTATTTTATTTTATTTTTTATAATTATTTCGTGGCATTAAAAGCAGGTTCCACTAAAAACTCAAATGGAAAAAACATAAAAGAAAATAAGAAAAATCTCCCTTCAAATTTACAAAATTTGTCACTGTGCAACTCCCGCAATTCTTCTCCAAGCACGTGAAGTCAATCTCATAGCAAATCAAGCAACCATTTCCTATTAAGATCAAAAGAACACAGAGTTCCTACTTTGCACTAGTTCCTTTCAGACAAACACTATATAAATTTCTATTTTGCTTTTCAATTTTAGACCAAATCTAACATTTTTTTCCCCAAAAAGATCCCAAACCCATACTTAAATCCATAGAATTTGTGAAAGGTCTTCTCCATGCTCAAATCGCCACAAAACTTTGAACATAGTTTATCTTTTAAGGTCTCTAAATAAAATAAGAAAATTAAATTATTTATAAGGATATGTTTAAAAACAAATAGATGAATTTTTATATATTTTTATTATTAAATTATTAATTTTGTAAACATAGTAATGATAATAATAAATAAATAAATTATAATAAGTAATCATACATTAATTTTTATTTTTAAAAAAGAAAAAAATTAGATTAATTTTAAATAAAGTATAAAAAATTTTAATCTTTTCATTTAATTAGTAAAATTTATTTATTAAGTTAATATATATTTTTTCTCATAAATTAATGTACAAAATAAAAATATAATAATTACTTAATATTATTAAAGATAAAAAATAAAATTAAAACTAATTAGATAAGTAACAATTAAAAATGTAGTAAAAAATTAAAAAAAATAAATTTATTAAGAAAATTAAAGAATTCCAATTCATTAACGGTTTGGTACAAAAGATTACCTTAAATAGTTTATTCAATTTGTTAGTGGTTTGTACCCTAACCACTATGGATGACAATTTCCTTAGAAACCTACGAAGATCCATGGTGATCTTGTCATGTGGATTGAGATTCTAAAATTATTTCTTCTTGTAAGGCGAGAATTTCTTGTGAAATTGCATGAGAAATTTTCTTTGTCTTGCGAAGACAAATGTAGATCCATATATATATAATAAAAAAATATAAATTTATATCTGTATATATATTTATAATTATATTACCAATTAATTTTTAGTTTACCGATTCAATTGGTTAACTCAATTCAACTTAAATTAGCTAGCCCTAGCCTAATTCCTTGTCCAATCTTCCAAACCTAATTCAATACAATAAGTAAACTGCAAATTGCAATTGCCAATTGCCAATTGCAGGTTGCAGTTTATGCTTTTTTTTCTTTTTTTTTTCCATGAACATGGTGCTGGAGCTGGAGTGCTAGACATGTATGGGAGTATATATTTGCTTGCTGCAACTGGACATTACTTTGTTGGACCATATATATAATATATTTATTTATTTGACTTGTTTTAAATTTTTATTTTTTTAATTTATAAAAAAAATTAAACTTTATCTATTTGATATTTAAGGGAAAATTCCGGATACTAGTGGAGACTCATCATTCTTTATTACGAAGATAGAGCTATTTTTAGGCCAGTCAAAAATCTCCATAGAGATCTCATACCCACCATCGATGGGGATGGAGATGGGAGGGGTCCCCGCTCCCGTGAGATTCATTGCTATCCCCCTACCAATCACTGTCCACTGCTCCCAAACTATTAAATTATACTGGTTTCAAAATAAATAAGTTTATCAACCGCTAATCCGTTAATGCTTGCCTCCAAACCACTATACCAACCGAACCCTTTAACCCCGTTTCGTCCCTTGCGCCCAAACCTAACTCTGTGAGCGGATTGGAGCATTCTGCCTCGCTGTTTTCCTGGCGGCAAGACCGAAGACTATGACCTCTTCTTCGTCTTCTCTCCCCCATTCTACTCAGATCAGATGCAAATTCATTGGTTCCAACTCACCCTCTTCCTCCATCCATCTCTGTATCTCCTTTTGCGATTCTGGTTTTCGATCTTTCTACGAGGTATTCTGTGATGTCGAACACCGGTGCCGATGATCATCACGAGGAGTCTAGCCCTCTATTGAGCAAGCAGGTTGAAGATGATGGGAGCAAAGGGAGTTGCAACGACAAAGGCAATCAGCCCAAGGAAGGGAAAGTGGATGCAGCACCGGATTTGCCTGATCTTTCAGTGGGAGTTGGGTATGGTTGGACCGCCGAAGGGCTGCTGTTGGGTCACGGGAACGTGGTGGACGAGCCGATGGCTCGGGGACAGTGGAACACCTGCCTTTTCGCTTGTCTTGGCCGTAATGATGAGTTTTGCAGCACCGATATAGAAGTTTGTGAGTCTGATTTCGTTAAAAATGCTCAATTTTGTTAAAATTTGTTAATTTCTATATGTACTCCTTTACAAGATGCTGATTAAGAGGGTAATGCATGATATTTGAATGGCCTAAAAGATCATAGTAACATAATCTAGTCTGTGGTGATGGCTTCAAAAGTGAAATATGGGATCTCTTCTGAAATCCTAAGGAAAATGGATTAGCTTTGAAGTTTATTACATTGAAAAGGATTAAAGGTCTAAGTGTTTGTGATTTTGGGGGTTAGATATCTTGAAATTTATTTTTATCAAATTTAGTTTATCTGCTTATGGGCATTAGGTTGTTGTCTGATACCTCATGGATCATGGATGAATGTTAACGTTGGTCCAAGAATCATCTTCGAAGTCATGGACTTTTTCCTTTCTCTTCCCTATATCTTTTTGAGGGGGAAGGTTGTCATTGTTTAATTGGGGTTCTAGTTCTTGACTCCTCCTGGTTTAATGGGTTTCTTACTGCTCTTTCATGTTTATCTTTTCCTCTTATATTTTTTGTTTACGGTATCTGGCTAGGTCTTCTTGGTAGCATTGCCCCATGTGTGCTGTATGGAAGCAATGCTGAAAGACTTCGATCTGGTCCTGACACCTTTCCAAATTGCTGCTTGTTAGAGCTTTGCCTCGCACCATGCTTTTCATATCCTAGGCGTACTGCCATGCGGCGGAAGTTTAACCTAGAGGTAAGTAATTCTCAAATCCTTTCCTGTGCTTTTAAACTTTAATATTCCATGAATTGAGATAAGCACTTGAGTTAGACATAGTATATGTTGATTTTCTTTAGTTGTTTCAGGCATTACTTTTCTAGTACATTCATCCCTTGTCAAAAATAG